TATCGGTTTCTTCAGGCTGCACGTACCGCATATATATATACACAGGGACGACTTTTAATTTTGCTTTCATTTTTTCTCTCACGTGCGACTTTTATCTTTTTCTTTCTCTCTCTCTTTTTTTTGTTTTCTATCTGGATCGGTTAGCAACGGCCGGGGGTTACAATATTTGCCAATTTGCACTTGCACGTCTATTTAATTTATTTTAATCTGTTCGAGAGCGACTTTCAGACGCGTCCTCCAGCCGCGAATTCAATCGAGAAAGAGCGGTCATTCCTCATCGTGCAAACCCTGCGTGCATGCCCGATCAAGAAGAACGCGTTCGTCGGACACTTCGAAAAGTGCGCCTCTTATCTTTGAAAAAAATATTCGTAAAAAAGTAAATTTTCAAAAGTAATTTTATTTTAAAATCGTAAAATCCGAGAAAAGGCTCGCAGGTTTACAAAAAAATTTTCAAAAGGCTTTATTTATAACAAAATGTGATATCTCACAATTAAAATTCTATTTTAAATCTACAATGGTGTTATCAGTATGAAAAAGAAAGCTAAATAAATTAAATTATATATTAATAAATAAAAAATTTATTTTTACTTATAAGTTATATATATATTTTTTATAAATATTATTATTAATTTATATTAATCAAGAATAATAATATTAATTAATATTTTTGTTTTAAATAACAAAAAAAATATAATTTTCAGGTCCTTTATCATTTTATTTTTATTTCAAATATTAAATCATCTGCAGCGCCTATCGTGTATAAATACGTGGCAAAAATAGATTCGCGTAACGGCGCAATTTTCGAAAGTCGTCTCGAATTATTCGTGCACGGCATCTACGATACAAGCATACGAGCACTTGTTAAAAAAACAAAGTTAGTAGATATTCTCACATATTCCCAACTACTATATTCATTATTGATTATTCATTACTTTATTACATGCAAAAATTTACTGCTGAAGAAAAGGTTTCTTGCACGGACTCGCGAAAGCATAACAAAATTATAAATTTTGTCAAAGAATTCGTGTCTACTATTTTCACTATATAATATTAACGGCAAATTAACCCGAAATAATAATTGCACAATCGTTTCAAGGGATTCATATCCAATGACCACGTTCGCTGTGTTGAAATTCATTGACAATTAAATTTACCATTTAAATTAATCATCCATGTTTAAAATAATGATAACAAAAAGATAGATGTTGACGTTTAAAATAAATAGAATTAATTAGAATTAATTACTTATTAAAGGATTTTTACATGTCGAATTATCGAATTGCAAATTTAATAAATATTCAAAATATTTCTATCTGATAATTATTTTTTTATAATTTTAAATATATTATTTAATAACATTTTCATTGAACTATGTGACAAATTGTTTAATAACATAGAAATAATTTATTTAATCATTCCGATAGAAGAATGCATAATTTACTATGAACGTGCCCTACGATCCGCATGAAAATTGGGAAATTCTGCCGTCGTAGATCCGACATACTAGAAGCATCGGAAAACGTCTCGAACGTCTTTCGAATTTTTAATTTGGTTTATTGAATTGCGGCCACACGTTCTTCGAGGAGGCGGCCTTAGCCTGCTCTTTCAAGATTCTCGCTTGCTTCTCAATTTCCTGTTTCTGTTTCAGGAAGGAAAAGTCTATGAAAATGCTGGAAAACAAACAAACCGCTACGTAAGTAATCAATCAGCAGGAGGATCCGAGAGCCGTATTGGAAAAAGAAAGAAGGAGCCGATGTCTCTTCTCATTTAACGATCGAAGACCGACGATCGTGTGCCAAATTCGATTTATTTTTCCAATTGGTAATTTTCTTTTCTCGAAACAGCCTTCGCATAGAAATGTCATATCTGCCGAAAAGGATAATTTTTCTTTCCCGTTCACGTTATGTTATTTTCTAAAAAAAAAAATTCTTAGAAAATTATTTTTATGAGACTCACTAACACTTCATTGTTTTATTAAAAGACACGCCTATTTAAAACGAATGGATTAATAGAAATTAATGAAAACTTATTTTACTTGATTTTTTTGCCCAGAAAAAATTCATATATCAATTCATTTCTTTGAATTCACTCATTTTCCATTGCAATTATTAAACGTGAAAATAATCTGTTAACATAAGAAATTAGATTTTCTTGCACGAGCAGTTTTTATTATACTATAGCAATTTATGAAAATGTGAGTGGCATTCAGCGATGAAGCCAATTTTATATTAATCATATTATCCTGTGATTGTTGCAAGCATCACGGCATATTAGCGCTTCGTTATATACGTGTATGTGTTTAATTCAGCTTATGCGGTTAAAGGCTAGTTAAGAGAGAACTTAACAATCGCATAAATAATGATGGGTTACTTACGGTATGGCAGACGCTTGGCACTTGATAGTGTCGGCGATGTTCTGATCCGAATAGAGTCCGATCGGTGAGTTGAATTGCTTGTGGACAATCTAGAAAGACAGAATTTGACATTTATAATCGACGCATAGAATTAGATGTCTCTATATCGCACTCAAAAGAGCCTTCGTGGCTTGGAACAAAACGATCAAAAATGACGGTTTTGTAAGCAGAAGCACAAAAGAGGTTTATCTCGAGGATGTTTCTTTTTTTATTATTTTCAATTTTAATTTATGAAAGGTGCACAGAGAAAGTTTGAAAAATAAATGAACTAATGTTGAATGTCGTATGTATATCTTGAACTTAATAAGCCATTCAGAGAAAACAATAAATATAACATAAATAGAACATTAAAAAGAAGTAACTGTATTATTCTAATGTTACATAAGGAGAATAGATAAGAAAAATAAATTAAGAAGATATTTAATAATATTAATCATATCTAATAAATATGATAAGAGAGAGTACAAGAAAATAAATATAAAATAAATTCATTGAAAATATATTATTGATATAAAAAGTATGTCATGACATATTATGAATTTTATATCATAATCATTTCAAGAAATTGTTTATTTAAAAAGTAACTGTCACGAGCGAATAGAAAATCTATATAACTCCATACATTATAGTTATTTCGTTATTTCATTATTATTTAATAATGATATATAATTAATAAAATGATATTAATAACAATAAATTTTTAATATTGAATATTTTTGTCTAATAATTTTATAATTATGGATACAGATTTTTTTTAGAATTGTCACATATTATTTGTCAATAATATTGCCAGAATTGTTTTATTTTCTCTGAATGCGCATTATTAATGTAAAAAATGCGAATGTTTACTAAAGATGTTGTATATTGTTGTCGCAATCTATTCTTAAGTCGTATCATTTGCCATTGTGATATTACATTATGACAATATAACATTGTAAAAAATAAATATAACTCTAGCATGTTGGCACTGGATGGCACAAACAATTGACTAATGCCAAGTTTCTATTATGTCGGAAATTTACATTACATACAAACTTGACATTCACAATGTTTATATTATAGAACATTCCGCCATTACAAAATGATAGTCATAATATAACTTTGTGTAACTGCCATCACGGTTTCGTTATATCTCGTACTTTCACATTTTGTCTGAATTTTCATATTTTGAAAACATATTAGTAGCAATCAATAATCAAAGCAATACATTTGTCGGTAATAAATGTTATTCAAAATAAAAAAAAGTTGCTTTGGTAAGTTATATTTCATTTATATCACATCATGTGTAAATTAAATTGGATTTCATTATTAAAATAATTCAATCGAATTAACTTTAGTAATTTGATTATGTAGGAGTCGATGTGCAAGTTATGTCGATTCACATCGTGAATCGATATACATCGGTATTATTTCGGATTATCGAATTATAGACGAGTCCAGGACATTTTGCATTAATCTTGTAGTGATCACATTGTATGTATAACAAATTATTATTATTATTAGTTAGCAAAAAATCGTGATAGCGGGAATCTCGTCAAACGAAACTCAAGTTCCTTGCGGATATATCGGTCGTTCAGAAAGCGTAAGTGTCGTTTCTCGAAGCGGAAGCGGCTTACAAAAGTAAACAACGGAAATGATCCAAACCTTTGGAACTTCATTCGGTCCCACGACACGCTGAAGTACCGTTTCCGCCACCTGCTCAGACGACGTTCAATGAGATACAGTTCAAACAATGACGCCGAACAAAACGTATCTCCAGTAAAATAAAAAAAAACAGAAGACTTATTTGTGTCTCACCGCAGTTGGGTGTACTCGAGGATTATTCTATATCGCCTTTACCTTTTGTTTCATAGCAACCTCGGGATGATGGGGCTCGTAATGATGGGGTGCCGCCCTGATCATCGGATTCGGGTGATGTCGTAAGTAGCATTCACCGAGAGGAGCATCCTTCTTGACCTTGGCACCAGGCAAGACCAGAGGAGTCGTGCGGTAGGGCTGGAAGGTAAGATCATAATTATAGATCATAATTATAGATGTGTCAGTCGAATATTTTTTTATCACTGTTTTAATTATAATATTTACTGGATAATGTTATAAAATTAATATCTTCCTTCAAATCGAAATTTTTTTTTCTCCCAATTTTATTTAAAATTTTTACATCTCTATTTTAATACTTTGACCAATCAGATTGGCCTAACATTATTAAATTCTTCTCCCCTCCTCCGACCTTAATATTATTTAACATCTACAAAAATTTTATTTAAAATCACAAAATTCCATTAAAGTTAATTGAAAACTCTTCTTTTAAAATAGGAAATTATTTGTTTACTGTTTATTTCAAATTCATTTAAAATAAATCTTTATCATAATCCTTTAGAAAATCTGTAAATCTTAAAATTATAGTCAAAAATAAGATTAAAATTTTAATTCGTTATAGTATAATTGATATTAACTATAATATGACAGTAACTATGCGCGTAATGGCAGTTAATAGGGCAAACAGAACAATATCCTGTCGAACAGGTGCCAATTAACTAACGAGATCTAAAATAAACCGCAATAGAGGCCATGGCGATCAAAAGGCAGCTCGTTAATCCCCTTGACGCATTTTACATCGCCATAATTCCGAGCAACGACGAGAATAAATCGATGATGATGATATTGCAGCCTAATTTGACAGTGATCTCATTTCATAATATTAACGAGGTGAAGTGCGAGTTAAAAAGGTAATGAGCTATAGAGCAAAGTTGATGTAGCATGTCAACTTGTCATTGTTTTATATCTCTTTAAGATACATTTAAGAGATTTTTTTTTTAGAATAAGTAACAATCAAATAAGACTATCGAATAAGATCTTTCCCCGTTGTAATGAATATTTTTTTTTTTGTTTCAAATTTCTCTCTTTTAAACAATGAATGTTTCTCGCCTCAAATAATAACTCCATCATTTTATCTCTGTGATATAAATAATTTTTAGTTAACGGCGATATTTCTGGTCGATGTTCAGGACCGGAAGCGCCGGATTCGCCAGACGATGACAGACTACCTTCAAGATACAAAAATTCCGCTCAGCTGGCTCACAATGAGAAAATTACATAAAACGACGGTCACCCTCGTGGTATCACGAACGAATTTGGCTTGCCAAGTTACGAGTCGTTCTGTCACGTGCCATCGTTTTGCGCGACATTATGAAATTACGCGATTCTGCAGGTGCATCATACATCATCGATTCGCCACGCGAATATCCTATATTTACAGCTTGTATTGAAACACCCGTGAAAACAAGTGTGAGGCGAAATTTCGAGTGAATTCCCGTAATATTCCGTCGTCGGATATTCTCGCGAAATTGCAGAGAAAATTTGGTAACGCCAGGCATGATTATTGTGATTTTTAGAAAGTAAATAAAATGTTTCGTGATATTTTCTCACAATAACCAATCTCTCATTTTACTTTTCTAGTAAAAGGAATTCAACCCCTTCGGAAGGGGTTGAATTTTTTATAAATCATATTAAAATTTTTTTATACATATTTGAGCATACTTATTATTTAATTTATTACTCTTCAAGGGATTGAATTATCTCACGTTCATTGTCGTTCATCAGCATTGGTTACAACGTGCACGCCGCAGTGTCTCACAATTTTAGACCCGCGGTCGCGGTCGCGACAAGTTTGCCCGTGAGCTTCGCGTTACTCGCTCGTGACATGAAATCGCACGATTATGATGATTCCATTATAAATGGGTCAGGAACGTCCCATTATGTTGGAGGGTGAGCTACGAGTGACTCTCTCAAAATAGATGAAGGCCCCTGGCTGGCAAAAATAACGCGCACCCCGAGCTACGAAAATCGCCTTACTCTTTCTCACGTCTCATTTCTTTCCACCGGTAACTTTTTCATCAGGAAACGTTACCGTCGGTTTGTTCGTCGATGTGGAATGCCTCCCGTTGAAATATTTGACAAGGTTGCATGCTTACGAAGGGAGGATAGAACAGATCGTAAGGAACTATCCAAAGCTCAAAGGGCTCCCACTTCCGTTTTGTCGCGTTGACAAACATTTCGATGATTTGCATGAAACGCATTGTATTGAAAGTACTCGGAATACAAATCTTAATAAAATTAAATAATATTGAATATTGTCATCAGTCTTAAATTTCAAAAATGTGAAATTATTAATTATAAATGCGAGGAATTGCGCTATTTGATTCTTTAAATTTTGTTTCTTCAAATTTCAAAAGATGAAATGATTTGAAGGGTAAAAAGCTTTATGTACGTGAAATTTGGAAGGGAGGGATTTGCTCACCAAAAACGACAGGGTAAGAGGAATTATTTAGAAATCGAGCTCGATAGATTGATTTAATTCTCGTCGAAGTTTTTGTTTGCGCATCTATGATCTTCTTCTTTTTTTAGAAGATTTGCGCGAACGTGCGCACGCGCGTCGTTTTGTAAAAGGTCTCTCGAACTAAATTCAGACGGAGCAAAACAGCTGTTTCACGAAGTGTTTATTGCTTGGCGTCGAGGTGAAACTTGAACTCTTTGAAACCTGATTGGAGCACGTTGACAAGAGACACGTTAACAAACAGATGTTTCGACTTAATTAACGCACTGGAAGATACAAAATTGCAATTAAAATAATAATTAAATTAATTGTATAACGAATAAAGTTGATTTATTTTATTTCTGATACAAGAATTTTATAAGCTAATGCTGAAATTATTTGTAATGACATCGCTTTTTGCTTTTAAGAAAACATATGGTTAAAGAAAGAATAAATAAAATTAATTAATTAAAAGTAAATGTATGAATACATAGAGCTACTAATCCTTAGACGGTTATATTTTTAAAATTTTCTGAAAAAATTATTTAAATGCTAATTAAAACTATATTCTAAACAAAAAAATAATTAAAATAATGTTTTGAAACATCTAAGAATTCGCTTTTTACTTGTCCGAAAATAATCATGTTTTCATCCAAGTGTTGCTTATGAAATAAAAATCCAAAAAGTTATCGTTAATTTCAGCACGTGTCGATTGGCTGTTAATTAAATGTTGCATCAAAGACGTTTTACATTATAAAACAAAATATATGTCGATTTTTCAGATAAAAAACGGATTCGAAAAATCGCGAACCGTGGATGTATCTATACGTGTTTGCGTGTTCGTGAGTAACCCAGATCCCGTTTACGAAAATAGAACGCGATACCGATGAACGGCATCCGCAACGGCGATGCCTATGTGCGTTTTATTGCATCGTGCGTTATTAATGTGCGTTGCACACCCGCACGAATCTGTCTTTCATCTCGGTAACACCGATCGACCCCGAAACCGCACTCTCTTTGAGATTTCCACGGACGGAATAGACGAAATTAACAAAATTCCCCCTAAATAGCGGAATTATTTTGCAACGACATTACATTTATACATTGTGTTTAGGTTGAACAAATCGAAATCTAGATCTCCTGGCGATTTTTTTTGCTCGATCATACCGAAATCGATGCGTCGGTGGAGCTAAACTTGCGTAGTTATTGAATTTTGATATTTTTAGGGTCGCCAAGCGACGCTGTTAAGCTCGAGTTTTATGATTGTTATATCTTGTCGTGGACAAACCCACGTATAAAAATGCCAGATGCCAGATGAAAAACAATGAATTTTATAAAACAGGATAAGATTGCTCTAACAAGTGTAATTCAGCGTTCAAATAAAAAGGTATTTAGAAAATTTAATGTAAAGAGAATGTTCAAGTATTTATTTTTAGTATATATTTTTAGTATATATTTTTCCTTTATATATTATTTATTAAATTTTATATTAAATTTAATATTAATATTCTTAATTTAACTATTTATATAAATATAAATAATGTTCCCAGATAATGTATAAATCGTAATATAAATTCTGTAATATAAATTAGTATTTAATTGATTAGATATTTCGAGTGATTAGTTATTTATTTTAAAAAATCCTGAAAAGTATTACCCATTAAAAAAGCACGAGCACAATGTCAAGAATACGAGTAAAATAAGAAATAATAAAGTAAAAATAAGAATAAAGTTCCATCTTAAAATATAACATTATTCGCACTACTTTCAATCTAAAAATATTCATAGCAAAAACTTTTTAATAAAAATAAAAATATTTTTTAATAAAAGTCGGTGTATTTTTCAAATGTCATCAAGATAATTTTATGACAATGTAGCTTGTCGCTCGTGCGCGCACAATTTTGGCCGCGAGGAAAGTGCACGTTCAAGGGCAAAGAAGAGGCAAAAGCAGAGGGCCTCGAGCGCTTGCTTGATGGAGCTTTTCCATCCTTGGTAAATCTAAATAAAATTGATGAAATTTCTCGTCTCTTTCGTACCCAATAAGCGGCCGCTTCCTCCTCCTTCGGATGATGCTCGATGTTATAACGATAGACGGTCGTGTAAGCGGGCATCTTCTCGTCCGTCGAGAGGCGTCCCGCGGAGAGAGCTTCTCTCGCAACCACCGACCTTATCTCACCCCTTTCTCGCGCGGCAATCCTTTCGCGGCTCCCGCAATCGTCCTCTCGCGTCGTCCCTCGCTCGCGACTCTCGCGGGATTATTCGCGGTTAAGCACTACTGGCTCGATGAGAGCGCGAGCGGCACTAACTCTGGCCTTTTCCACGGCGGCTCCTCTCACTCTCCCGGAGAGAGACCTCTCTCGAAACTCGCTTGCTCTCGTTTCCACGTAAAAGCTTTTGACACCGGAAGATCGTCACAGAATCGGACACCTTTTTCGTTAATCTCGGATGCGGTAATCGTAATCGAATTATCGTTTTTTATTGAGGTAACCGGATAAGTCATCAGAATTGAAGCTAAGTTTAAACATAAACAGGATTTTTCCGAAAGATAAGTTTATAAAGATTTTTCAGATTTTTACGTATATTGAAAGAATATTTTTGACTGATTATCTTTTATTTAAGCCAATTAATCATTTTTTTTAATAATTAACATAGTTTTATTAATTTTCTTCTGATAATAATCTATATAATTTATTGAAAGGAATCTTCTCTTTTTAAATAAAATTATTTTTATTGGCATTTTTATTTGTGTTCTCAGCTTTTAAAACTTTCTAGGTTGATTATTATCTTGTATATATAATAATTAAAAAAGAAGTTTTCTTTGACAATAGAATTCTTTGACAATTTTGCAATAAAATTCACGAGAGAGCCACGCGAAAGTGCAAATTTCAAGTATTAGAATGTTCTCTGATCAAAGATATCTATTAGTAAATTTTTCAAACAAATATTTCAAAATTTTTCGAACTTAAGAGACGATTGATCTCTTGTGTATTATTAAAAAAAATTATTTTTAATTTGTTGTCTGATGTACGGCAGAGAGAAGTTTACTTCTTTTTCTTTTATACGCTTTTATACGCTCTCTTTCTTTTATACGCTACTGGAGACTATATAAAAAAAAGAAGAATTAAATCCGCTTGGAGAGTGTGGACGACGACGTCCTGAATCCGCGAGACGTATCGGTTCGGGACAGGCAGAGGTGGTTTCGATGCAAAAGCGATATTTATAGCGTGTGGCAACCGGTTCTACTAGTGGCGACGGACTTTCCGGCATCGTGGCGGGCCAACAAAAATATATTCACACTTCGGACTTCCCACGAATAAAGGCACCTCCGTGCCTTCGTTTCGTCGCTGGCCACGACGATGCACGTTGCATCCTGGTTGCCGCGATATACGCGATGTCGCCGTAATAAACGCGATGACGCGTCTTCTCCCTCCGTGGTCTCGTCGCTACCGCCCTCGCAAAACGGATTAAATATTTCGTTAAACGACGGGAGACATCTGGACGCGTAATCTCGATATTGCAAATTGTTGCCCTTCGTCGTTAAAATCGCAGGTTTCGTATTTCTTTCTTTTT